ATCTACAACGTTCCCTACTCTTTCCAACATAAAAAAAAAAACAAATGTGAACCTGTAATGAAGTTTTCTCGTCGAATATTACACTTACCGAAAACTAATATTATGTAATATAAGGTAGGTGACAACTAAAAGATAAAAAAAGTCGGAGCTTTCAATAAAAATTTTCTAGAAAGATCTTAAAATTAGTTAATTTCAAATGTGACTTTAATTCGATGGTGGGAACTTTGTTATTATTAGTAATGGTGTTAATCATGGCCTTCCTGAAAAAACCTNAAAGATCTTAAAATTAGTTAATTTCAAATGTGACTTTAATTCGATGGTGGGAACTTTGTTATTATTAGTAATGGTGTTAATCATGGCCTTCCTGAAAAAACCTAATTTAATTTTGATATCTAGTAAAGTTTTAAAGTATGAACAAAAAATTTAGAAATTCGAAAAAGGTTGTTATAGGTGTATGTTTGGAGCGCACCGTTGTACGGGTGCGAAACATAGACAGTGGACGCGGCGGAAAAAAAAGGTTAGAAGCGTTCGAAATTTTGTGTTACAGAGAAATAATGAGGATACCGTGGATAAAGAAGGTTAAAAATGAAAAGGTATTAGAAATAGTAGGAGAAAAGAGGTCTCTATGGCAGTCAGTAAGAAATAGGCGAGATAGATTAGTAGGACACCTTCTCAGACATGAAAGTCTAGCCAGAGACATATTAGAGGCAGAAACGGAAGTTAGGAGGGGTAGAGGTAGACCTAGTTTAGATTCCTGTTCGCAAATAGTTAAGGATAGGGGTTATTTTAGTTTTAGGGAAGATTAGCTCAGGATAGGAAAGAGTGGAGGTACGTGTCCAACCAGTCTTAGGACTGACGACCTTATGATGATGATTTGATTTTATAATGTTCAAGGAAATTTCATCTCCAAAATAAAAAACGGTATACAGCAAAGTGGTCGAAGTATCTATTAATAATCAACAACTTCAAATTCATCTAAATACTGTGATTAATCTGTCGAAAACAACAGTTACCTACATGTTCAATGGTTTGACAAGTAATTTATTGATGATCCAAGGGATAAACTAATCCGAGTGCATGTGACATCGCCGAGTCTACAGCCATCAAAAACCTAAAGTGACTGTCATTACCTATTTCATCAACATTTAAAACGTGTACGTTTGTCTGCTACTATAGATATCTGTTTGCTAATAATAGATGTACGATACACTCTGTTAGTCATCCTTTAGGTATTTTGTTTTTCTAAATAAAAAACTATCTGTTGTTACTTATCGAATATGTTACCACGTTAATACGTACTGTAAAGTATTAAATAAAAGTTTACCAGTTCTAGAAATTATCTCATGATATATACAAATAAGGGGTAATCTCTGGAACTACTGAAACAATTCTGAAAATTCCTGGACTATTAGATAGCTACACAATAACCGAGTAGTATATACTAAAATTCGAAAAAGATTGTTAATGATGTATGTTTGCAGCGCGACGCTGTACGGGTGCGAAACAGTATTGTTTCTGTAAACTTGTAAATGATGTCAAATTGAAATTTTATAAATAAACTTTTATTAAAAAGAGATCATTACTGGTATGTAGGGAAAGAAACAGTAGGGAAAGAGCGAATATAAAGATAGGAGACGAGAGATTAGAAGAAGTGAATGAGTTTAGGTATCTAGGAAGTCAGGACGGAAGGAGTAGTAGGGATATAAAGTAAAAGATATCGCAGGGTCGAGTCGCCTTCAATAGAAAGAAGTCACTTCTATGTTAGCAAACGATTAATTTAAAAATTCGGAAAAGATTGTTAAAGGTATATGTATGGAGTGCGGCTCTGTAAGGGTGCGAAACATGGACGGTGGGCGCGGCGGAAAAGAAAAGGTTACAAGCTTTCGAAATGTGGTGTTCCAGGCGAATGATGAGGATACCGTGGATAGAGATTAAAAATGAAGATATATTGGAAAGAATAGGAGAACAGAGGACTCTATGGAAGTCAACACAAAATAGGCGAGATAGGTTGGTAGAACACCTTCTTAGGCAAGAAGGTCTAGCCAGAGACATATTAGAGGCAGGAACAAAAGATAAGAGGAATAGGGGTAGGGCTAGATTAGATTACTGTTCGCAAATAGTTAAGGATGTGGGCTGTTCTAGTTTTAGGGAAGTGTGAAGATTAATTCAGGATAGCAAAGAGTGAAGATGCTTATCCAACCAGTCTTAGAACTGAAGACCTTATGATGATGATGATGATAGACCAAAATTATTTTGTGAAAGAGGAAGCATGGGAGCAGTGTGAGTACAGCGCGAGCGCCTATTTTTCAAAACTTCTCATCTAAATCCCTAAAAGTCCTTGAATTTAACCTATTATCCATTATCTGGTGAATGTGAACAGGTAAAATATGTTCAGTAAAATTTTCCGTAGTCGACCTAATTTTCCAACGCGTTCTTACAATATTCGTTTTATACTACCTAATAGTATCGATAGAGAACATGCAATTCCAAACTTGGTCCCTTGGGCACGCAAGCCGATGAATATGATTAAAATGCAGTTTGCTAGAACCATTAAATTTTTCCGGTACGAAGAGGATTTTACGAAAAAGATCCAGAATAAATCATTCAAATGAAACTCTTACAACACTTTCCGTGGGTGCATCGAATTGGAGGTAACGCTGGATTCAATCAAACCGGAAGCGCAACGGTAAATTAAACTTAATACGGGAACTACTTGTCCTCTGGTCGAGGACTTTATTTTTTGGATTTCTTATTTCCGTAATTTAAAAAATTCGAGGTAGCACCTGAAGGAACACTTTTTAAAGCCGTAAGAACGGTCTTTGGAATAAAACGTTTCCAATTAAACAAAATCGGCTCCGGTTCAAAGAGAACGTATTTTGGTAATTAATTAAAACTTCGGCAATTTGTTGAAAACTTCAATGCCACAGCCACTTAAAACCCTACGGTAAGCCACTGATGAAAGCGGAAAGGTATTCCGGGGAACAGAACCCTTGGGAATAGAAAGAAACTCTAGAGGAAATGTAATTTGTTAAAGGTATTCAAATAGCTTGGTTTTTGCACTTTACTTTACTTTAAAAGTAGCAAGGGCATAGAACAAATAAAAAAGCGTAGCCCAATCACTCTTGTGCTCGAAAACAATTTAATTGTATATTCGATAAAGATTTCTTAAAGGTGAATGTTTGGAGAAGACAGTAGATATCCGCATCCGCATCCGCAATTGCGAAGCTTCCAATCAATTTGAACATTTGCAGATATTCATACGAATGCAGATTTTACACCATAAAAACCTTAAATATTATCAATATTCATCTTCATTTTATCCTATTAAGGATATGGTCTACAACTGGAGGGATTGACGTGCAAGGGCAAAAGATTAGTATGCTTAGATTTGCAGATGATATAGCAGTATTAGCATCTAGCAAGGAGGACCTAGAGATAGCTTTAAATAAAATGGAAGCGGTACTGACAGATCAGTACTGTATGAAAATAAATAAAAGTAAAACTAAAATACTGATATGCAAGGGAAGAAAAAGTAGGGAAAGAGCGAATATAAAGATAGGAGACGAAAAATTAGAAGAAGTGGCTGATTTTAGATACCTAGGAAGTCAGATAAGTGAGGATGGAAGGAGTAGTAGGGATATAAAGCAGAGGATAGCGCAGGGTCGTGTCGCCTTTAATAAAAAGAAGTCACTTCTATGCTCGCGAACGGTTAATTTAGAAATTCGAAAAAGGTTGTTAAAGGTGTATGTTTGGAGCACGGCGTTGTACGGGTGCGAAACATGGACAGTGGGAGCGGCGGAAAAGAAAAGGTTAGAAGCGTTCGAAATGTGGTGTTATAGGCGGATGATGAGGATATCGTGGGTAGAAAAGGTTAGAAATGAAGAGGTATTGGAAAGAATAGGAGAACAGAGGACTCTATGGAAGTCAATAAAAAATAGGCGAGATAGGTTGGTAGGACACCTTCTCAGGCATGAAGGTCTAGTCAGAGACATATTAGAGGCAGAAACAGGAGTTAGGAGAGGTAGAGGTAGACCTAGATTAGATTACTGTTCGCAAATAGTTAAGGATGTGACCTGTTCTAGTTTTAGGGAAATGCGCAGTTTAGCTCAGGATAGGAAAGAGTGGAGGTACGTGTCCAACCAGTCTTAGGACTGATGACCTTATGATGATGATGATGAAGGATATGGTAGGTATCGGAAAAATGGATGTTTAAATAGCGGCTTTCAAGGGGTTTAGTCCTTTGAAAAGAAATGTTTCAATGTTCTGCTTTTATTCTCAAAAACATTTTTCTAATTTCAAAAATATCGTTCCTAATAATGGTCTATGATTAAATGAGAAATTGAAACTTTCAAACATAAAGTTATTTACCTGTGACTATGAACTCTAAAAGAATATTTAAAAGAGCATGGAATAAGACGGGAAGAAAGCTCGCATAAAAGAAACATTATCTGGAATAAAAATCCGCTGAAAAATATTCGAAAGGATAAAGAGGCATTTCTGTGAAAAATGGAAACAAACTCAGGATCCTATTATCCGACTTCTAGCAACATGCAGAAGCAGATTTGAAGATAATCTCCGACAGAAACTGAAATTTGTAATTCATAAAACATCTTCACAAACTTTTAAGTTAATATTTTTCGTCAGATGATGAAGATTTTTATATTTTAATATTATCAGAAAAAATTTACAAGCTCATTATAATATTTATGAAGTGTACCTTTCAAAAAATAATGTTTTAGGATTACAAAAGTCAAGTACCTATCCAGACCATATTTATATTAACCTCAAATACTAAAAGTTTTATTTTTCACTTCATTGTACAGAAAAGTTTAACTAATACCACCATAACTTTTCAAAAGTGAAAATTATAAAGGCTTTGGTCGATGTCATCAATCAAGCAAACTAATTATTGGGATACAGGTCCATTTCACTCCTAGACAATCACCTACCTACCTATTAATAAAAAATGCGGAATCTAATTGACTTATTTTTTATTTTACCTGATTATTATTGGACTGACTTTCGTTTTTTTCTTTCCGTAATCATCAAATAGCATCGTATAGGTCCATTTCTTTCACCTTAATTATTTCCTCATAAGGTAAACAGCAACATTTATTTTTTTGTATAATTAAATGTTTATTCCTTCGATCGAAAGAGACCGCGCGTATCAATCGATCTGCAAGGATTCCGTATCACGATCGCTAAACTCAAAATCGATACGCAACGAAACACGATAATGGCAACCGGATGCCTACTAAATCATGCTCGATCACGTTATATTCTAGGAAGGAAAGGAACAGTCGCGGTCATGCGTCGTAAGGAAAATTTATTCGTCCAGTTCTCATGTTGCATAACTTGTAAAGCTTTAAGGAGCAAAAGAAATAATGTACTGTAAAATTAATGAGAGATCGTGATTACGTCATCGACATATTTAGATAGAACAAATAATCCAAAAGGTAATTAATATTGAACTCACATAAGGATAATAAAGAAAAACAATAGCTGTATGTAAGCCAGAAATTGAAAATTATGATTAATCAATAGATTTATCCAATAATTTTTAAATATTGATCTGAAATTAATTTAATTTTTACCGCTATACATTACCTCAAGAAATTAAAATAATTTTACTTTGATGTTTAGAAATTATTAAATATTAAGCGATATTGAAAGTAAATTTTCTTTAAGTCTTTCGTGCACAAGTTTATCAAAATTAGTCAAAAAATAAAAACGATAGGGTGGTTAATCTGTTATATATTGAAACAGAAATGCGTTTTCCAGACTTTAATGAGTCACGAAATAGCTTCGGATTTCACGGTCGGTGTCTATTATTTGGAAATTGTTTTCTGGACTTAATGGTCATAACCATGGTTTTCATAAGTGATTCCTTGGTTGATATTGTCCTTCATCTATCACCATAGACCATTCAAAACGACACTTTTGAAATTAGAAACCTGTTTTTTAAAGTAAAAGCAGAACGTTGAATCATTTCTTTTCCAGAGTCTCAAAAGACGAAACCCCTCGAAAGTCCCTATTTAAACAACCACTTTTCCGATACCTACGTCACCCTTTAAGGGTTAAAATGATTATGAATAATAATAAGGTAAGGAAAAGGTTGAACCTATGAGTGCACTGACAACACTTCATTCGTGATGAATCTTTATTAAATTGCTGCAGTCGCTTGTTACACCCTGAGTAGTTCAACTGACATGGAATCCATTGATATGTAACGCACGGCGTCCAAATAGTTTTATTTGTTCCTTTGGGATCTGTCCATCAAGCTCCTTCGTCATAGTGAGGGTACATGAATACCGCTTCTCTGGAATGTAAGACATGTTCCTTACGTATATTCCCAATTTAACAGCTTCCTAGGCTGCATACGGACTGGGATTTTCTATTATTTGGTTTGCATATCATACTCGTTTGCTTAATCCATCAACTTGTATTACCATACATATTCGTTCAGACTTTTCGTTTAAAATTTTCTATTACAACAAACTTTTAAGTTTTTTCCGTCAGTGTTAGGAATTAGAAAACCAATAACCTACTTAATAAATTACTAAAGAAATAACTTGTCAGTTACATGGCGATGTTTTGTTCAAGGTATATAGAAAAGTCAACTATATACAGTGGAATTCGTTTATTATGACTCCGCCTATATTGACCAACCGCTTAATATGAAGTAATTGCAGTGTTAAGTTTAGTCTTCATATTAAATTCTCTATAGGAAAGTGTGGATATAATGACTCCGTTTAAAATGACATATCGTTGACTATGACTGATTCTCAAGAACTGATATCCGGCTGTAGTGGCCCAAATGTTTAATAATAACATTTTCGCTCATTTTTCTGACCATTCTTATGTATATTGATATTACAATTCATCGTTCTTTTTCTTTTTCTGTTAATAAATATATACAATTTGAAGTTTTTCTCTCTATTAAACTAAATAAGTAACCAAAANTCATCCCAAATGGGATTTCTGAAGGTGAACAGTACTTTTGAAGAATACGAATGTAATTTTTTCTACAATAAAAATAATAACAACTTTTGAAACTATTGTTGATTATATATATACAATTTGTAGTTTTCCTCTCTATTAAACTAAATAACTAGCTAAAATAGAAAGTTGTTTATTTTCTAAGACTATGCTTTGTATGACGGGTTTGTCATTTCCCTTCGATGTCATTACAAGCGGATTCTACTGTAACCAATTTCAAAGTTCTAAGTTTGGAAGCTAGAAAAGAACAAATAAAACCAAAAACAAATTAGATAAAAAGGCTGCTTTATATCAACTATTATGTTGAAGAAATGGATTATCAGCTCATTCGGAGAACAAGTTTACTACCCATAAACGAAAACCGATTTAGGACCAAAGATAAAGTATGAATAAAAGAAATTGCTGATCTAAAAACTCGAGAACTCAACGACAATAAAATTTTGATTACTCACCTGTCCGAAGCCGTTAATTTAAATACTACTTAAAACAAGGACCCTTGATCCCAAACGTACATTTGGACAATATATAAATAGACGCGATACAACTGGATTTATCTCATTAATTCTATTAATTACAAATTCCAATGGAAATTGCTATTGGTACATAGGTACGTCACGAATAAATGAAGTAGGTACTTTGGATGATTAAACATTTTACTGTAACCACACACACGTCGTTAAATGATCCATAGTGAAGTAAATCAATAAACACTCATAGAGCATCTACATGCAGATATGAGAGCACGGGATTTAGGTGAGCACATTGAAAATCAAAATATTATTTAACTTAAATTCATTGAAATCAACCATAAACTAATTGAAGACGTAGCTGTTATCATCATCCGCCATTTTGAGTCCAACCAACAGAAATGATGGCGGCAGGTGTCTGTCAATTCAGTGATCCACAACAACTGTTTATTTTAAAAAGTATCTGTATTTACTTTATTATATAGGTTAAATATATAGGTAGTTGGTCACCAAGGACCTATTATCTATCAACAGGACTATCTCTTATATATGGCCAGAACTCAAAATGGCGAATAATAACACTCATATATTTAAAAACTAAATTCTAAGTAGATTTAATTCAGACAACATGAAAGAAACAGCTATTTCATCATCATTATAAGGTCGTCAGTCCTAAGACTGGTTGGACAAGCACCTCCACTCCTTCCTACCCCGCGCTAATCTTAGGATTCCGCTAAAACCAGAAGGACTCACATCCATATCTATTTGCAAACAGTAATCTGATCTAGGTATACCTTTGCCCCTCCTAACTCCAGTTTCTGTCTCCAATATGTCTCTGACTAGCCCTTCATGTCTGAGAAGGTGTCCTACCAACCTGTCTCGTCTATTTCTTATCAACATTCATAAAGTCCTCTGTTCTCCTATTCTTTCTAATACCTCTTCATTTCTAACCTTCTCTATCCTCTGCTTTATATTCTCACTACTTTTTCCGTCCTGATTTATTAGACTTCCTAGATACATAAAATCATCCACTTCTTCTAATTTCTCGTCTCCTATCTTTATATACGCTCTTTCCCTACTTTTTTTTTGCATTGTATACCACTATTTTTGTTTTACTTCTATTTATTTTCATACAATACTGTTTTGTCAATACCGTTTCCATTTTGTTTAAAACTATCTCTAACACCTCCTTGCTAAATGCTAATACATCTATATCATCTGCAAATCTAAGCATACTAATCTTTCGCCCTTGCACATCTATCCCTACAGTTGTACTATCTTTAATAATGTTGATGGCGTCTTCGGTGTGTAGAATAAAAAGTAGCGGTGACAGTGGGCATTCCTGCCTGACTTCCTTCCTAATATTTACTTCTCTACGACGCAACCCCAGCTCTATAACTGCCTGTTGTTCATTATACAAACTAAGTATCACTCTTCTATCTCTGTAACTCATCCATACATTTTTTGGTATATTTAACATGTCATCCCATTTAACATTGTCAAAAGCCTTTTCCAAATCTACAAATTCTATGTACGCAATCTTTCCTTTCTCTATCGTTTTCTCTAATTGTTACCCGTAAAGCTAGAATTGATTCCCGCGTTCTTCTATTTCTTCCAAACCCAAATAGATCTTCCCCTAATTGTTCTTCCGTCCTTTTTCCATCCTACTTTGTACAACAGTTATTTATGCATTACAAAGTGGTTTGTCCTGAATCTATTACAGGCCAAACTTGTATTGTGGATTAGCAATATGAAATATAACAAATTGTTGAATTTTTTGTAATTGTAACACGTTTTCTTCTTAAGAATTAAACCCGACATCAAAGCAAATTTGATCGTTGTTTTGCTCTTAATGTTTCAAGTGTTGTTTTAATTTTCCATTAAGAATTCTCTTAATCCTTCTGCTTCTCATTAACTTCTACTTCAATTACACAATTTACGTCGCGAAGTCGACCCCTTAACAAGGAGCATCCGTTTTACAAAAGGATTTGTTGTGTCACAAAATAAAAGAAACTTAGGTATCTGAATTTACCGGATAATATCTACCCAATTAGTTGCCAGGTACAAAAGGACTTGAGAATTAATCCAAAAGGATCATCCCAAATGGGATTTCTGAAGGTGAACAGTACTTTTGAAGAATACGAATGTAATTTTTTCTACAATAAAAATAATAACAACTTTTGAAACTATTCTTGTTTTTACTTGCTATCAAATTATGCATAAATTGAACATCGCTAGATCCTTAAGGAAACTAGTCCTGTGTTTTTGAAACTTTGGATTCAGGTAGTTCATGACGTGTAAATCAAAAGGCTCAGTGGATGTTAAGTCGTAAAAACTCATGTTTTTCAGATATGATTCGTTATATTTGCATTGTTCCTTAAGGACTTCCAAGGTAGAATTATATCTCTCATACGTATTAAATTCGCTCAAGAAGACATATAGACATATGTTCCTGTATTATACCCACATACATATGTGTATTATACAACACTTGTGGAGAAACTTATTAAGGATTCTGGAATAATATTGAAAACTTTTGAAATACAGGGAACGAGTACAGAACTGCTCCACATGAAAATTTTATAACGTGTAAAAATTTTAAATACAGATCTGTTACGAATTTCTCATTTTCCCATTTCTCTTTATTTATATGGAACATTCTGTATGCTAGCTTTAGGAATATACATATAAAGAAGCGGCAACAAGACACGAAAGTTCGTTTAAGCTCAGATCTTAGAACATAATTTTGAAGAAGCTTTATAAGTAACTTTGTTAAAAGTTCTCGTAAAAACAATGTTACATTTTAGTAAAGGTGCCAGACAGCTTTTATTAGCAGTAATAAACTTTATTTGCCGTTTAAAAATTTACAACCATCGACCCATAAAACAAAGAACTTCAAATGTATGTACCTACCTACCTACCAGTTTTCATCATTCATTGAAACAACTACAAATTATTCTTAAATTTGCTTGAAATACATAATTTCATAGTTAATTATATTTAGACTTACCAAAACTATCTTGGGAAAAAAACTGTGACCATTACTACCTGTAGTTAAGTTTGTGCACTAAGAAGTTAGTAAAAGTAACCTGTTTGAAACTTTCAACTGCACCACAGTCAAAAAGAAAATGTAAGGAAAAACTAAACAGTTGTTGCAGCGGCTTGTTAATGCGCAAAGTTGGTTTCAATCGTAACAGCAAACGCAAACTAAACTTTACCGCTCAGGATTCGTCCTGATCCGCAAGGATGACGGCACAATTCGCGAGAACCGCCGCCGACTGATGTCCACCCTGCAACCGTAATACTGTAACAACGCCCGTCATGTCGAGCATGCGCTTAAATGCTCTACACTGTGTTGTTTTTCTTTTTATTTCTTTTACAACTCCACTGTGGCTGTCTCAAAAGTTTCCTCCTATTTACAGCTTTTGTCAGTTTTTGCACGCTATGATCTCGCGTTTATTAACTCTACTTCTGCTGCTGCGGCAATCGCGAAGAATATCGATCGACAACTAACTTTTCCTAAACCTAAACCCGCCACAAGGATTTAAGTCGTTATCTAATAATAAAGGATAATCTAACCTCGAAACCTACCAGAGGAATTGAGAAAACTTTTAGTGTTATTAAGAAAACAGTTGGTAATTGAAAAAACACAGATGCACTTAAGTAGCAAATAAAAAACTTATGAAAATTATTATTTTTTTTTTAATCTACACATAGATAAATTTGTTTTATATGTCTATATTATCATGCACGCTCCCAAGACAAAAATGTTCAGTATCTCAGAGTCTCTGAAAGCGAGACTCGAGTCTCCGTCTCTCATCGAGTCTCTCTGGTGTCGCTGAGAGAGACTGTCAAAAAAACTGTTTAGCGTCTCTGAACGAGAGACTCGAGTCGCTCATAGAGAGATCCTCATTTCGTATCCAGTCTCTGAACGAGAGACTCGAATCTCTGAACGAGAGACTCGAATCTCTCAATAAGTGGTGTCTCGATAGACATGGTTAAAATTTTCTAAGTTCAACATATATCAGAGATCCCAGTCTTTCTACGAGAGACTCGAGTCTCTCAATTTTTCAGTTTTATTCATTCAATCTCTCTGTAAGAGACTCGAATCTCAGAATTAACAATTTTATCGTTCGAGTCTCTTATACAGAGACTGTGAGAGATCTAGGCAATAACTGAGACTGTGAAAGACTGTGAGTGACGCTCTCAGAGACGCTAAAAGACTTTTTGTCTAGTGGCTAATAGGAGCTAGTATCCTAATATTACTCAAGACAGTTTTGAAAAGCGAACTTGACTCCGAAGAGGAAGAAAACAACATATTTTACTGTCATGTTTTACATATCCTTCCACTAAAAAAAGGATAAGCCTGATTCTGTGGCTACAAATCATTACAACAAGACTCCAAAGAACTTTATGCATACAGATAGAAAACAAAACACTAACTATAACGTTTCATCAGTTTGATCATTTCAAAATTGAACTCAAAGTACAACAATAATATCGATCCCTAGCATTTAAAGAATAAATAAATTTAAAACTCTAGATCTACTCTAACGTGTAACCCCATGCAACCACTATTAGAATGGCCTTTCTCAATATAGAATGTCGTACCTGTAGAATGATCACCTCAACCTAAACAAACACTTCAAATTAATAGATAAAGCATACATATTATGTACTTTTCGTAATCTCATACTGGAAAATATATCGACTAAGATATATAATAAAGTGGCCTCGTGAAATTTCATTAAATACTTTATATGTTACTTCCACTTCATTAGCTTCTAACTTACTCAATATTCTCCAGGTATAACTAAATTTGATTTGCACCGCCAATACAGACTAGTCGACGTATGGTAGGTACTCTAAAGTAAGTCGTTTTATGCCTATACGACTATAATTGTATCAAAGCACCATCTCAAATTGCTCGTTTAAATTGTTCTGAGAAATTGCATGCCATGGTAAATGAGATTTTCTCCTTTATTAAATACTTGTGCACGATGTCTTAATTATAAGATTTAATTGATTGCAAAATTACACTCACTCAACAACAAATTCCGATTCTTCTTTTATAAAAACTATATACTGATTGTCATATACTGTAACTGTACTTTCTAGTTACCGAAAAAAGTGAAGAAATCCAGAATACCGTCGCCGGGAATCGAACTCGGGACCTTTGCATTTACCTACCTGTGCCTAATAGGTATCTCTCGCAGTGGTCAAAGCATTAGGGCGTAAAGCCAACCGTCCCGAGTTCGATTCCTGGCGAGTGCTGCAATAGTTTTTGACGTGACAACGTCTTATAATTCGATGGAGCCGGCTGCACGCACGAAAAAACATGACTCATGCGGCGTTACCTCGCTCTGAGGCGTTCCATTTAAGGCTTGAAGTGCAAGCGAGAGCGCGGAACGAGCGACAAAGAGACACAATCGGCTTCCGCGTTCGGCAGCGTTCGACATCTGTCTCTCTCCTACTTTAGTGAGCGATGCGTCCGCGTGGACAGCTGCTATACAATAATACATTTCCATTTACCTCCTTCTCTATATACATACAAAATATCTATCAAACAAATAAAATTAAAATTTTCTTTTGAAAAATGAAACCATTCCATCAGTATTTTCTTATGACGTTGTCACGTTCAACTATCGTCAGTAAACCGACTTTACAGACAACTGATTTTCCTGGTTAATTTGAGGTAACTTGCAATAGATAAAAATTAAATGATTTTCACATTAATATTATAAGTAAATTGTGTTCCTTAACAGGTAACAATCCAGGCACTTCTTTACGGTAAATTTTACTACAAATAATAAAAGCTTTATTTCACAATCTTATGAAACATTTTTTTTTATTAAGATGTATCTGTATAATAAAATAATATATTAATAAGCAAGTCATGCCCCATTACGGAAATAATTTCAAAATTTTTACAACTTAATCTTTCCCATGCAAGGACATTCAAACTGTAAACACTTGAGTCCATAATATTTAATTAACGATAACTGTTAATACTTATGTATACTATATAAATATTGTGTTGGATAATCTCTAAAAACAGTCACACCGAATTCGTCGTGAAAAATGGAACGTTGGGTAGGAAAAGTCGCTGTCGTTACCGGCGCTAGTTCTGGAATAGGGGCTGCAATAGCAGAAGCACTAGTCAAAGAAGGACTAATTGTAAGTTAAGCAAAAAATAAACTAAATTATTTATTACCTACTTATTTATTTTGGTTTTAAAAACAATTAGCAGTTGCTTGATGTTATGTTTAAACAAATCGTATTATAAGTTAGATGTTTTAGCGCTTTTTTTGGTTAGCCTAGTAGTCAAATCACTTGTGGGTAAAGCCAGGTTCGATTCCCGGCGAAGGCATGACCCCAAAAGTTATTTTTTCTTATTAATTTGAGGCTCTTATTGCAATTATTGTATATTTATCTTTAACTTAAATAAATCGACAGGTTGCTGGATTCGCCAGAAGAAAGGAAAGGATCGAAGAACTTGCGAAAAAACTACAACAAGCTAATGCTAAGGGAAAACTTCACGCGGTCAAAGTTGACATGACAAAAGAAAACGAAATAATCGATGGGTTCAACTGGGTTAAGAAAAATTTGGGGCCTATACACGTCCTTGTAAATAATGCAGGAGGAGCAAGAAGCACGACATTAATTAATGGTGATACACAGAGATGGAAAGAAGTATTTGACGTTAACGTGATAGGACTGACTATAGCCACAAGAGAAGCTGTTAAAGATATGACGGCCAACAAAGTAGACGGTCATATCATCCACATTAACAGTGTTGTTGGTCATAAGGTGATAAACGTACCTGGTGTCAACGTCTATCCTGCCAGCAAGTATGCTGTGACAGCTCTCAGTGAAACTTTGAGGCATGAATTTATACAAAATAAATTAAAAATTAAAATAACAGTAAGTTTTAATATTCTATTACGATCTATAAGCGTCCATATGAGAATTTCAATAATGAAATATTCTGCTTAGTTTCTTATCTTCTTCTTATATTAAGGTTTTCTTGTAGAGTCTGAGCCCAGGACACGTGGACACTGAGTTTCGTGATGCAGCTGATCTTAAAGTTGACCCTAGCTCGATTTTCGCAAAAATCAAAGGCTCAACTACTGAAGATATAGCAAACGGCGTTTTGTACGTTCTAGGAACCCCTCCTCACGTACAAGTACGTTTACTAATTACGTGAAAAATACTCGTTAACGTTGTCGTTATTTTCCGTTCGTTATATTTTGAAATTTAAACTAATTATTTATTATTCTTTTTTTAATTTTTAGATCCAAGAACTGACAATTACAGGGATAGACGAACCGTACTGATTACGCTTTAATACACAATTTCCAATGTCAATTTATTACAAATTTGTATTTTGTTTTCCTTTTATTCTATTTATTGTAAACAAGTCATTTAGCTGTTATCAAATAGATATTTTTTAAAATATGTGAAGCATTTTCCTTAACTAATCGATTCTTGCACATTTTATTTAAGTACAATTATTGCGAGAAAATAAATAAAACTAAATACTCACAGTCTTATCATTCTAACGATTACTTCATGAAGTAGATAATATTCAAAAGCGTTTAAAATAGCGCATTCAAACAGTTACAATTACCGGGAACTATCACAGGGTGAGTGAAAACGGTAAGCCGTCTCACCACCCTGCATCTCCATGATCTTGAATTCGACTCGATTCTGATTATTGATTCCGCTATTTAAACAGTTGCTAATTGACCTACTAACACAGAAGGTAAATACGTTTTTCTCTACAGTTTTAAATAATTGTCCTCTTCTGTCTTCTTCTTGTGTGTCACAAATTTAACGCATTTGTCTAATTAGTTCTTATTTGAATCTAATATTTTCGATAAGCTTTTTGGCCATAAAAACCAGTTAATTCTGTTTTAATCCACGCAATAGACTATTACAACTACCCCTTTTTGGAATCCCAATCCTTATTATTTAATAAACTTGTATGACCTAGGAACCCAACCGATTAGGACTGCCGCAAGAATCAGGTCAAACTCGAACTTTGTTGCCTTGAAAACCAAGGCAATATCAAAAGTAAAATGCTCATATGAAATAAAGACCAAAACGAACAAATCGGGGAACTATATCTTGTCAAGACTGATTGCTCATGATCCTAAATTGGGCATATGTCATACTCCAATTAAGGCTTTATATATATGTACCTCCCGATATTGAAAAGAAAAAAACAATCAACATTAAGCACCCTATTTGGGGTTTTGTGAAGACATAGATGTACTCACCCTCGTACTATTGATTGGTTTTTATGTGCATTTTTGTATATTGTCCAGTATATGGCACATCCTATTTTTCATTGTAAGACAATTCCGTAAAGAGCCGTTTGATAACTAAAGGCATCGAGTTGTTCTTTCCAAATTAATTTTCAAAAATTATCAATTTTCGGTGGGTCTAAAGGAAGGGGTCGAGGGTTAATAGGGCGTATTTACGGTTGCAGAATATTTAATTTATTCAATAAGAAGCCTTGTATCAACTTTTTTACCCCTTATATAAGTAACTGGTTGGGGTAACTAGGGGTCATTTAAGGACTTTTTTATGAACTGAATAATGTGTTCTTGCAACAGTAAGTGGCTACATGTTTACGTTCTTAATACATACCTTTACTTTTAATCCTAGAGGAAAGCCTAGTCCTTCATCAAGGATGCTGATGCTGAGACAAATGCAAAACGGCACTTCGTAAATTTCAAAAATATCTATTTGATTCTTAATTAGAGACTTACAATAAATAGAATAAAACAAAACAAAATACAAATATCGAATAAATTAATATTAAGATAATCTAAATGATAATCAATACGGCTCGTCTATCCCTGCGATTGTCAATTCCTGGATCTAAAGGTTAAAAAATAATTATAAACAATTAATTTCCATTTGTCTTAAAATTGACAGACCGAATGATTGTCAAAATAAGAAGTGTTTGATAGCCTACCTGCACGTGAGGAGGGGTGCCCAGGACGTACAAAACGCCGTTTGCTATATCTTCCGCATTCGAACCTTTGACCTTGGCGAAAGGCGAGGTAGGGTCAAGTTTATATCCAGCTGCATCACGCAACTCCGTATCTACGTGTCCAGGACTTAAACTCTAAAAAGAAAATATATATATATATAAATTCAAGGACAGTGAATTTTCCAATTTCAAATCTTATCGAGTATATCGATTCTTGAAAGGTTAACCTTAAAACTTACTGTTATTTTAATTTTTAATTTATTTTGGATAAATTCATGCCTCAAAGTTTCACTTAGGGCTGTCACAGCATACTTGCTGGCAGGATAAACATTGGCACCAGAGAAGTTCAAAACCTTATGACCTCCAATACTATTTATATGAATGATATGACCGTCTACTTTGTTAGCCCTCATGTCTTTAACAGCTTCTCTAGTTGCTATACTTAACCCTATCACGTTGGTGTCAAATACATCTTTCCATTTCTGTGTATCACCATTAATTAATGTATTGTTTCTAGCAACCCCTGCATTATTTACAAGGACGTGTATTGGCCCGAGATTTTTCTTAACCCAATTGAACCCATCAATTATTTCGTTTTCTTTCGTCATGTCAACTTTGACCGCGTGAAGTTTTCCCTTAGCATTAGCTTGTTGTAGTTTTTTCGCAAGTTCTTCTATCCTTTCCTTTCGTCTAGCAAATCCAGCCACCTGTCGATTTATTTATGTTAAAGATAAATATACAATAATTGCAATAAGAGCCTCAAATTAATAAGAAAAAATAACTTTTGGGGTCATGCCTTCGCCGGGAATCGAACCTGGCTTTACCCACAAGTGATTTGACTACTAGACTAACCAAAAAAAGCGCTAAAACATCTTACTTATAATACGATTTGTTTAAACATAACATCAAGCAACTGCTAATTGTTTTTAAAACCAAAATTAATAAGTAGGTAATAAATAATTTAGTTTATTTATTGCTTAACTTACAATTAGTCCTTCTTTGACTAGTGCTTCTGCTATTGCAGCCCCTATTCCAGAACTAGCGCCAGTAACGATGGCGACTTTTCCTACCCAACGTTCCATTTTTGAGGACGAATTCGGTATTACTGTTTTTGTAGAGTCGCCAACACAACATATGTAGTTGGATATAAATAGACAATTATCGTAAATTAAATGGTAGGAGTTCAAGTGTTTACAGTTTCGATGTCCTTGAATAAATGAATAAATATAATCAAGTTATAAAATTATATCGATTATGCGGCATGACTTGCATTTTGATGTAATATCTATTTAAATCTATTATTTATAGGCGCAAATATGGAGAAGTTGCTTCAATAAGTTTAAGAAAAGTTTTAATGATAGATTCTACAGTTGTATCGACTGATAACAGTGCACACGTTTCATAACTACTGCACCATTATTACAAAACAAGCTTGAGAGTTAATACTGTATACATTTTTATCGTACTATTTATTGTGATTATTATCAATCGATAATTAAATCAACTATTATCACCAATTATGATGTATTCGATATCAGAAGTGAGTGGGTCTAAATGAATACACTCCGTAGTATAGTTGGTTGCATATCTCCTAGTAGCCATTAAATTTTAGTTTAACGCTTATAGTTGGTTGCATATGTCTACATATATTCATGTACAGGCACACAAAATTATTGAAAAGTGTTGAGGATTAAGTGCTATATACCAAGGTCTTCGGTTAGGTTAGGTTACGTGCCATGCACCACCGAAAATGGCACCGTTCAAATTTGAACGGATTAAGACTGGTATGGTATAATGTCGTCATATCTATAAGAAAAAAAGCGTGCCAATAATTTCCTAGTAAATAACTAACAGTAAAGACCCGTATCGGCGTCTAAACAGCATTTCTCCAAACGAAATCGTTTAATTTGTTTATTGCAACTAAAACATCTACCGTTCCATAAGTTCGAGCACGTACGTACAACTACTGAAAACATGACTTTATAAAATGGTTGTAACTAGCATATTTATTGGAAGAATACAATTAGGTCACAATAAAAACAAACTATGGCCCCAAGTCGTTACCGTATTTGCTGGTAAGTCAATTTTCTTTCTTCTTTTCTTTTTGTTTTTTTTTTTTCAATACAAAACATCGAACACGCCTTCATCTTAGCATTCGCAATTAACAAATTCAAATTAAAAACTATAATCTGATGCTCGATATTCTTTTGTCATTAGTGAAAAGCGTCTGAGAAGTCAATCAATCTTCATGGTTCATGGGTCATTCTTTTGTTACTGTTAATAATACGAAATTTGAATTTAAAGGTGCATTCCTGTATTTGTAATGTTGTATTTCATTCCCTCGTTATCTCACCTATGTATAATAATAGAAACATACTCTTTTATTTCGTTTTTTTTTTGTAGTTTCCCTTCATGCCTGTTTTATGGGACTGGCGACAGGTTGGACGTCTCCATCCATTCCAAAATTAGTCGCTCAAGATTCGTATATTCCCATGTCGTTTGAGAAGGCCTCGTACTTTGCGATTCTTCAGGCATTATCCATGATCTTGTTTAGTCCCGTGGGAGCAATCCTGGGCGATATTATTGGTCGTAAGAAGGCGGCCATCTGCATCTCCATACTGGAACTGGTTTCTTGGATCCTGGTTGCATACGCGAAGGATGCTTGGGTGCTTCTTGCGTCACGAATTCCTGCCGGGATGGCCGATGCCATCTTTCTATTCACCCTTCCAGTGTATATCGCAGAAGTCACCGAGAAGCATATAAGGGGCAGGTTAGGGATTATGGTCCAACTAAACTTTTGCATCGGGAACCTCATAATCAACCTGGTAGGCTACTACCTGAGCATACCAAAAACTGCTTTACTTATGGCTCTGCTACCATTCGTGCACATTTTCGTATTCTACATGATGCCGGAATCTCCTTATTGGCTAGTTCACAAGAATCGTTCGGAGGAAGCCAGAAAACACTTGCAACTGTTGAGATGGAGAGAAGATGTGGACGATGAATTTAATGAGATTTCGAAAGCGATCGAGAAACAATTTAATGAGAAGGAATCTTATAGGGAATTGTTTGCAGTGAGTTACAATAGGAAAGCATTTCTCATTGCTCTGATAGCAAGAATTTCTCAACAGCTGTCGGGATCGACGGCGATTTCCGGTTTTATGCAATACATTTTTGAGGAAGTTGGAGGAGAAATGTCTCGCCACGTGTCTGCAACAATATGTGCTTCGTTATCGGTTTTAATAATTTTATTATCTGTTCCCGTCATAGACAATTACGGTCGGAAGCCGTTGATACTATTATCGAGCGGGGGTTGTTCCGCAGTACTGTTTGGACTGGCAATATTTTTTTATTTAAAATATCTTTATGATATACGGGCTGTAAGCTGGTTACCACTTGTATTTATGTTATCGTTCATTGCGTTTTATTCAGCCGGTCTCTCTATGATCCCCACGATGATGCTGGGAGAAATTTTTTCCGCAAACGTCAAGTCGAAAGCCGTAATACTTATTACGTTTGTTTACGGCGGTGGTGCAATGTTCGCAACGAAAATTTTTCAGGTGTTGGTTGATCATGTGGGATTCTATGCTCCTTTTCTATTCTTTGGCATCACCACCGCTATTTTTACAACAATTTTATACTGCACGTTCGTAGAAACAAAGAACAAAAGCCTGGACGAGATACAGGATATGTTAAAAAATCAAAATAAATAATGATACAATGATACAATTATTATATTCTATGTGATCACCGCTATTACTTAAATAAAAGAATTTTGTAACTTATTTTTATTATGTCATGCCAATGAGAAAAAAGTATACTTACAATTCAAATGGCAAGGTAGTTCTTTCCATTCTTTGTTCTATTTCTATATTATTATAAGCATTGATGATGTTTTTTTTACTTTCAAAAAGCACAAACCTAATCGTACAGAGGTTCGCATACAAGTTTCATCAACCAAACATTCCTTCCGTGATGGGCTCAATCGATAATTGCCGCAATTTTCTATTTGTTGATACGTTAACATATTTTAGAGCAATTTGCAAACAAATATCTCATACCAAGTAAACAAAAGGCAGCAAACTGCGATAAAAATGAAGTTATTCATAACAATTAGTTTCGAGTTTGATAAGAAATGTTTATTTTGAAAATCTATTATACTGAAGATAAAAATTTTCAAATTTTTACATGCGTTTTACTAAAAATGATGAATTCCTTGATTTTAAAATATGCAGCCAGCCTGCATTTGACGTAGGTAGTTATTGACTATAAAAACCCCCGTGTAGGAAAGCTCTACATCAGTTTGAAAACACAACAATTCAAAATGAAAATAGCAATTATTTCTCTGATTGTTATTTTCCATGTGTTCTTTGTGATTGGTAAGTTTTTTTATGCTCTTTTTGTTATAATTTATTTATCACACTTTTGTTGTGGCACCTACTAATATGCCATATTTTAAAAGGGGTAAGTGGAGATGGATCATACCACCCTAGAAACGTAAATACCCGTTCCAAGGACAAAGGTCAACATCATTCGGTTTCATCACGTCACCAGGCTTCCCACAACAACCTTCATCATGCCGAAGCCAAGCATTCCAAACCTCGTGGTGCACATAATCGACATGCCAGTTTACCGAGCACTCACCAAGTTCTAAACCGCCACCAAACTGCACGCAAAGGTAAACAGGACCGGTCAAACCCCGATAAAAGTTGTGAATGGGTCTGCAGAAGCGGAGAGGTGAAATGGAAGGGAGACGGATCCATAAACAATAATGGAAGTAAAGATAATTGGAGCGGCAGTGGAGAATTGTCATGGACCGTAGTGAATAATAACGGATCAAATGAAAGCACTGGAAGCGGATCGAATGAAGGAAACGGTTCAGGCGAAGGAACTGGAACCTCAAGTGGCAGTGGAAATGGACAAGGAACATCAACAGGTGGAAGTAGTTCAGGAAAAGGCAGTGGTTCTGCAACAGCTGGTGGAACTGGACAAGGAAGTGGATCAAATGGAGGTAACGGTTCAGGCGAAGGAACCGGTACTTCAACTGGAAGCGGTGTTGGACAAGGAACCGGTGTCTCAACTGGTACAGATTCACACAACTGCTCTGAAACAATTCGTGCATTTATTGGAGAAATACGAGAACAAATTGAAAAGCAATCAAACAATGTTGTAGGAAATGGCAACACAAACGGTTCACTCAATAATAACAATCTCCTGGTTGGCATTACACATGCCGCTAGTCAACTATTCAAAGGTAGTGGCGGAGTTTTCAATGGAAGTGCCGCTAACGGAGACAATGGGCAAGGTGGAAACGGTGGTGGATCAATCGATATTAATGGCGGCAACATCGGTGGCAATGGATATGGAAAAGGTGGAGACTTCCTCGGCAACGCATTTGGTGGAAACGGCGGAAATGGTGGAAATAGTGGAAGCGGCGAAAGTTCCTACATTGGTGGCTGGCCATTCAGATTTCCTAATGGTCAAGGTGGACAAGGTGGACAAGGTGGAACTGGTGGAACTGGTGGAACTGGTGGAAATGGTGATGGTACTGGCGGTAGTGTTTCTGTGAGTACTGGCAGCGGTGGCAGCGGTTCAGGTGGAAATGGAGGAACCTTCAACGGAAGCTTTACAGGAGCACACCAAAGTAATAACGAGTTGAATATTGTGTGTTGATTTCCTAGAAAAAATAAACATTTACTGTTTCAGGCCAAGAAACCAAAAGCAAAAGTCATCATTCGAAAGGCAACTCCAGGAATCATCACGTCCCTGGTGCTAACAGACACCACCACCAAAAATCCAACAGTCGGAATGGACATGGACAACAAGCTAAACGCTTAGCAAGATCGAAAATGCAACAACACGAAAACAAACAGCATTTCTAAAAGACGTCAATTAGTATTTTACCTTTAACCAACACTATATTAAACACAGATTATTAATGTACACTTAAATATTATATAGAAATACACCTAGCAATCTGAGCAAACAACAAATTGAATTTTATTAACCCATTTATAAAATGATCAAGAAATACGAAATGATAGCTTAACCAAAGCCATCAATTGAGGGATTATAAAAAAATCTTTTTTCGACAAATTAAAGAATTTTCGTTTGATTTAAAGGTGCCTTGGGATTTCTAGATACATTCTTAACTGCAATTGTCTTTCATGTTGAACTTTTAAGTGTCTAAAAACATATTAATGGTTATTTATAAATCAACTTTCTAAAACGGGAACATAAAAATTACGTGATTGTATTACTTGTTGACTACACCCCATAAATCAGGTCCTTCTTTTCGATTGACCATTGTATATCAAGACACAATGAGTTAAACAGCCTTATCTGATATAAATTAGTTCTACATTCCAGTGCCAAAGGCAGCATCGTCTAGCTGATTTTCCGAAAGGAAGGTAAACAAAGTAAAAATCCATTAAAACTAATCAAAGGATAAGAAAAAACATAAAAAGACATTAATAGAATAGTGCCAAACAGAAAACAAAGAGTCACAAAAAAGGGCACCATTCTTACATGCGCAATTAGTAAATAGCGACGGTCTAAACAAAATTGTTCGAAATAATTCGATATTCCTGCGAAAGAGGCAGCACTTCTCGGATCGTTTTCAAAAGGAACGGGAACAAACTTTCAGGGTAGAGAAAAGTTTTCCAACGATTTTCGCATTATTTTCTCTTGTTTACTTTTGTATTACCTGGTAATTCAGTTTTAAAAACTGTACATGATATAACACATACAATTTTAAGTATAACAAAATTGAAAATTTTCATGCCCAAAAAATGAGATAAGCAACCACCGTAGGGAAATCCGGCTTCACAGATTTTGTTCCTAGTGTCTGCAGACAAAACTATTAAAATCTGGTAATTGAATTTTGAAAACTAAGCATGTAATACTAGATGCAATTTTAACTATAAGAAACTGAAATTTTTCATATCCTCAAAATGGGGTAAGCAACCACCGTGGAGAAACCACCCTTCACAGATTTTGTTCCTAGTGTCTACAGACAAAACTATTAAAATCTGGTAATTGGATTTTAAAAACTATGCATGTAATACTACAAACAATTTTAACTATGAGAAACTGAAAATTTTCATGTCCACAAAATGGGGTAAGCCACCACCGTAACGAAACGCCACTTTTGTTCCTATTGTCTATAGACAAAACTGTTAAAATCTGGGAATTGAATTTTGAAAATACTATTAAAATATGTTAATTGAAAATCTTATCTAGTATGGTTCCTCATTCCGATGCTAGAGGCAGCACGTTCCTGGTCATTTTCCAACTGAATAGAAAATAAAATAGATGGCGGGTTATTAAATAAGATATTGTTTAATTATCAATTAAAATAAATGAAAAAGAATAATTACACCTACCCTTATCTGTTTTTATTTTCTGCTACTTGTAATTCTTATTAGATTATACTTTAAGGATACTAAATAGGAAAGTACTAAATTTTAAATAAAAACAACTAATACAATTCTGTAAATATCGTATGTAGGTATATGTCGTTAATATTGTTTAAACAATTTGTCCCAAAGCATCTCACATGATTTATCATACTTCACATTTGTTATAAATATCGCGTAAAACTTAAACAATACAAAATAGGTACTATTTAAAAATACATTTAAGAAAAGAATTGTCAAAATCTCAGTTGTTACTGACAATTAAGAAGTGAAAACCTTCATTGACGCTACCACTAATTGTTTCGTTTAGTAAATAAATAGCATAAAAATGTAAAAAGACAAAGCGTCATGTGCAAATTAATTTATTATATTAAGTATGCAATAAATTCTTATAAATAAATATATAAAGGAACATATCACTATGTAAACTCGTATTTATGAAAAAAAGAGTGAGAATTTAATTCTTATTTTAAGTAAGAGGCACCTGCCTGATGCCCAAATGTATTAGAATAGAATAGTGAGGTACTAATTAAGAAAATGGTAACTCTTAGGATATTTAATGGCAAAATTAAATTCGGTAGAGATGAAAACAAACAATGGACGCAGATTTTGGCTGCGATCACAAGTAAGTTTCTATGATTAAACATACATACAATTTAGACATCTTTTAGAAGTGACTTAGTTTAATATGAAATACTATTCTGAAAATTCATTTCTGAATTTTTACCCACTACACACTACCTCAAATTAATGAGGGAAAAATTCTTGCTGTCGTCACACCTCCCCGGGTTCTGAACATTGGTGCGTAAAGCCAAAGGTCAGAAATGAATTTTCAGAATAATATTTCATAGTAAGTTTCTTTTCTGATTTAGTATTTCACAATATGAATTTAGGGGTAAACGACCAGAAAAACATAGCCATTTCATCTAAAACTTATTCTAAGACATAAAAGACACAAGTGAAAATAATCGGTCATGGGATATTCTATCAAATGCCTTTGCAACAATCTTTTAATATAAATAATATAGTAGTACGAGTCCTATTTTCACTAGTGTGACATAAGAAAAAAATGAAATGTATAATTGTGATGTTCGTTGAATGTTTTGGCGATGCTTCGAAAAGAAAAAATAAATCCAAAACCCCACGATGTTGGTCACTTAACAAACAATAATTGTATTTAATAAGTATGACAAATGACACACTAGAGAGTAGATTTTCAAGTCATTAACTCCTGCTAGATACATATTTAAATAGTAATAGCTAATAAATTTTATTTTATCTACATGCGTCAGAGGGACTACTGCTAATTATTAAATTTTAAGCATAAATCTTGAAGTCAACTTTATTTGTATTTTTTACGTTTTCGTTTGTAGATGATATTGTTATGGCTATAAATATATGTATTATAAGATTTGTTGTCAGTGTTTTAATTATTCAAGGAATTTACAAAATACGGAAAAGAACATAAAGGACTTGCCCATCAATTATCTTCAACATTTAAAAAGTCCTTTGTACTTAATAATAGTATATATCATTCCTCAATATTTTAAAGACTGACTCCATTTATGAAATAATGTACCACCAAACATTTCAAGTTCTTTTATGCATTTATACTTATAAATTTGACTTCTTTTGCTCAAGTTCTTAAAAACTGACGGTATGCAGTATAAAATATAATTCGTTAATCTTTGAACTAGATCAGTCTATTGGAATATTTACCTTTAAAGAAAAGCAATTTCGAAAAAATGACAGCATCAGTTCTAAAACCATCCTCCTCTGTATTTTATCTAAATCTAAATAGGATTTACATCCAAATCTTCTAGTTTCCATGTATGCCTATCTCCTTGGCGTGTCGTCAAATTGGACATCACCAGCAATACCAAAACTGATTTCTAACGACTCGCACATCCCCATGACGTTCGAACAAACGGCTTATTTTGGGGTTCTTCAGTCGTTCTGCATGGCGATATTCAGCTTCGCAGGAGTCTTTATTGGAGACGCTATAGGGCGTAAAAGGACCGCTTGTATCATTTCAGTTTTACAAATAACAACCTGGCTGTTCATCGGTTTTGCCCAAAGTCCTTTTCTCCTTTACGCATCAAGGGTTACCTCCGGTATGTGTGACGCCCTTTTCCTTTTCTCTGTCCTCTACTATGTCACAGAAATAACCGAGAAACATATCCGTGGTCGTATTGGAATACTGGCACCCATTTGGTTCTCCATCGGTGCCTTGGTCATAAACATGTTCGGTTATTACTACAGCATACGGACCACAGCGTTCGTTATGGTCATACCACCATTTATCCACTTCATGGTGTTCTCTCTAATGCCCGAATCGCCTTATTGGCTAATCCAAAAAGATCGTCTCGTTGAAGCCAAAAAACAATTACAGATTTTGAGATGGAGGGAGGATGTCGACAAAGAATTCGAAGAGATGACGGACTCTGTTAGGAAGCAGTTTACTGAAAGGGGTTCGTACAAGGATCTGTTTGTGGTTAAGAGTAACCGAAAAGCATTCGTGATGGCCTTAATCGCTAGAATGGCCCAACAGTTTTCCGGTACTACGGCAATCAATGGTTTCATGCAGTACATCTTTGAGGAAGCAGGAGACGGAATCCCTAGACACGTGTCTGCTTCCATATGTGCCGCATTGGCCGCGGCAGCATCCCTGAGTGTTACATCCGTTATAGACAAATATGGACGAAAACCACTCATGGTAATATCTGCAGGTGCTTGTTCTGTAACGTTGTTTGCTCTTTCGATATTCTTTTATGTGAAATCTACTGAAGTTGACACGTCTTCGGTCTCCTGGTTGCCATTAGTATTTATGCTAGCATTTATTGCATTTTACTCTTCCGGCCTCGCTATTATTCCCGCTTTGATACTGGGAGAGTTGTTTCCTGCGCCTTTGAAACTCAAAGCAGTTCTAGTACTGACACCTTTCTATGGATTTTTTATGATGTTCACAACCAAAATCTTTCAGTTGCTAGTCGATAATGTGGCTTTTTATTCGCCTTTTCTATTTTACGCCTTAATTACGTCTGGTATGACATTAACGTTGTATTTTACACTTATTGAAACTAAGAATAAGACTTTTGACGAAATTCAGAATATTTTGAAAGGCAAATAATTGTAGGTACCTCAGAAAGCTTTTAGATAACAAACTGACATTTATACTTATTGATAATTAAAATCACGCATATTTTTTTA